TTCTTCTTCCCAGAATGCCTCCTGGGTCTTGTTGTCCCGCCTAACTTTCTCAAGGAGCTTCAGTTGTTATCATTCTTTGTGGCAGAATTATTTTGACTACGAAAGTCTCTGCTCTCTACTCAGCTTAGCAACGAGATAACCAGAGAGCGAAGCTTCTCTGAAACAGCATGTAAAACTTTCCTACTACAGAACAGACTTTAAATCAAAATGGATGCTATTGGGACAATCTTAGGACTACATATCCCATTCTAATACACATAAAAACACAAATCATCACAAAGACCCTCTCCTGTGTCCCCACCAAACATAACCTATGAAGGTGGTGGGGCCAAGAGTAAGGGCTCCCCTGATTATCTTAACACCCGAGCAGGCTCATAAAAGGTCCTTGAGATAGCTAGAGCCCAAGCCATTTAAGGCTTTATAGTTTAGATGGAACCAACATTTTGTGACCAGAAATGGTTCAGCAGCCGATGGAACTGCTATGAGATGCGGTTTCTGTGTGATCCCTGCCACCAGCCCCAGTTAACAATCTGGCTGCTGCATTTTGGACCCCCACTGAAGTTTCCTGACACTCTCCAGAGGCAGCCCCACATAAGGAGCATTACAGTAATCAAGACAGGATGTAACTAAGGCATGTCTGACTGTGGCCAGATCAGAACTCTCTAGGAGCAGGCTTAATTGGCGCACTAGTTTTAATTGTGCAAAGGCAGTCCCAGCCACTTCCTGAACCCAGGCATCTAGACTCAGAGATTAATCCTTATAAAAACTTTTTTGTGCCTTTCCACTGCCCTGATACAGGCAATTATCTTGCCTGACCAAAAGGATTGTACCATTCATGCACCAAATCGATGACATTTCAGGGATTCTCATAAAAGACACCTACCCAACTCTGTTTTTAAAAAATAAAACCAAACCAAACCCAGTTGACTTTAGGGTTACCTGGTTTTTCCTTTTCTAGCATCTCTCCAAGTTGTTTGTGAGGAAATGTGAACTATCTGGGGGCCTACTGTTGTTGTTTTCGATGGGGAGTCTACATAGCCAGATTTCTTGTTAGAACAGAATGCTCTTCCTCCCATAAAATCATATCTGTCTCTAGGGTGAAACATATTTCCTTGGTCTCAGCATTTTTCTGTTTCTCAGAGTGAGTACATTGGAGAACGGGATAAGAGGCTAGCTTGGATGACCGGCTTTACGGGATCATCAGGCGAGTATGTTTTTTAGACTTATAATAATCATAATCTTAGGACTGCAGAGCTGGAAAGGACGCGATGGATCATGGAGTTCCAGCCCTTATCAAGGAGGCTCTCTCAATCTCAGAGACTTAAACCACTGAGCTATTGTTGTCTACCTTGCCTGCTCTGCTTTGCCAACAACCCCAACCCTATGGACCCAAGACTTATTATGGGCTGTTAATGTTACACACCATAAATCAAAATTTGCATTGACTCATGTCAAGTACCAGCACCAGAATGGGTGGGGAAGGAGAAATAAGATTGTCTCTATATTTTACCAGCGGGTAACCCCTTTTCTTAGACAGGGATGTGGTGGCGCTGCGGGTTAAACCGCAGAAGCCTCTGTGCTGCAAGGTCGGAAGACCAGCAGATGTAAGAATGAATCCACGCAACAGAGTGAGCTCCTGTTGCTTGTCTCACCTCCTGCCAACCTAGCCATTTGAAAGCATGTAAAAATGTGAGCCGATAAATAGGTACCACCTCGGTGGGAAGGTCATGGCGTTCCGTGTCTAGTCGCACTGGCCGCGTGAACACGGAAACTGTCTTCAGACAAAACGCTATCTCTATGGCTTGGAAACGGGGATAAGCACTGCGCCCTAGAGTCAGACACAACTGGACCAAATGTTAGGGGGAACCTTTACCTTTAACCTCTTTTCATGTCTGAAGCTCATAATGGCATGACCTCTACAGTCAAAAGATTTGGCTTCAAGGAGCGGCACAAAGGCCGTCCCATAGTTTTTGCATCAAACAACTTCCTGTATGCGGATGGGTATTCCCTGGTGTTCCTTGCAGCCAGCACAAGAAGTGAGAGCACCGTTTAGACATACAGATCTTTAGCTATTTAGATAAATCTGCCTGGAAATCTTTGTTGGATCCAATGAGATGCTCCCCAATAGTACTCACTATCAAGCAAATTAGTTCACCCTGGCCTTGAGGACTGATAAGTGGATGTTGAAGGGCTTCTGTGCAGAGTGGGGTATTCCTCTTTCACTAATATCTCACTTGCTGCTGGTGCTACCGATGTTCGTTTGTCAAGAGGCTTGCAGCCTCACTGTGTGGGCTTTGCACATGGAGAAGGGCAGGGTGTCGTCATAATCACATTCCTGCATTGAGATGGTTGCTGCTGGTGCTACTGATGCTCATTTGTCATGAGACTTGCAGCCTCACTGTGTGGGTTTTGCACATGGAGAAGGGCAGGGTGTTGTCATAATCACATTCCTGCATTGAGATGGTATGGGTTAGTTTCACACACATCCACACACAAACACACAAACACACAGAGAGAGAGAGAGAGAGCTGGGCCTCCTAGGGGAAATGTCTTTGCTGTGTCATGGGACTATTGGGCAGTGACAGTGCTGTCAACGACAAAGTTTGGGAGAGTAAAATTTTGGGACTACAACTCCCAGAATCCCGCAGACCAGCCTGTGCTGCCTATGGAATTCTGGGAGTTGCAATCTGAAAAATAACTTTTCTAAGCTTTGTTGAGGACGCTGTGGGTGGGTGGGGGGTTCTTCCTGCAGCGTTTCCCCCTCTTGTCATGGGCTGAGCCGGTTTGGACACATTCCACTGGTGTTAACGTTTGGATAGCGCTGGCATATGTCCAACCGATCTACCGCATAAAATTGTAGTGTAAGATTTATGTGTTCATTGATTACATATGAATTTGTAAAGGAAAGAGATAGTGAAGAAATAAATTTGCAAAAAATAAACTGTGCTTCTTTATTGAGTTTTGGAAGAACACAATTTGTTTTGCAATAAATGTATTTAATAGGTTCAAGATGTTAGCAATTGTCAGATAAATGAAGTCTCTGTATGCATCTTAAAGAGTTGTAATAACAATGAACAAACAGGAGACATGAATCTCCCACATCTGATTTTCAGAATCTATAACTTGAGGGTGAAATGGAACTTGCATCTGTATTTGGTCTAAAAATGGCCACCATCCACTCTCTAACTTGACATTAACATTATTTATGAGAGATGTGTTCCAGATTTAAAAACAAACAAACATGCATCTGGGTTCAAAGCTGGATTTTGTTTGAATTACATTTCACTCCGAAACTGAAGCTATAATAAAGAACCACATGCTTCTCGGTATGTGTGAAAACTTTTTCCCTCGTTACATCCAGCCAAACAAAACTGAGACGAGGGCTCTCTACAGAACATGGAAAGCTATATAAAAAGTTATTTTTTCCTGGACTGCAGTTCCCACAATGTGACAAGCAGCATGGCTATGCCAGCTGATAGAGTCAGGAAGTTCAAGAAAGTAACTTCTGTGTGGAAGGATAAGACGTCTCTTGCCATAATGCCTCTGATTTTAGAAATTAACCTTCCTGCTATCTTCCTGCCCTTTTTTGCCTTAGGGACTGGGGTGATCACACTGCAGAAAGCGGTCCTCTTCACAGACAGCCGGTACTGGATTCAAGCTGAGCGCCAGATGGATTGTAACTGGGAACTGCAGAAGTTAGGTTGGTTGACTGTAGTTTTCTCTTCACCATCTTTTCCTTCTGGCCTCAGGGCTGCATACCAGCTGGCCAGCTCTTCTGGCTGAAAGCAAAAGCCCAAAGCCAAGTGGATGGAACCCTTACTAGAATGCTGAAATCTCAAGGTCTAGATCTGAGTCCTAATGGGTTCTTCAAAAGCCTAGGCATTACAGACCTGGAGGGAGAAGAGGAGAAACAGAAAAGTCTCAAATTAATCATGTTAGCCGGACGTTGAACCCAGGCTCTTCTTGTTTAAAGTTGACTTCAACATGGAGATTGCAGCTTTTTAGAATCGGTTTGAGGCGGCAGGCTTCCCCTCAAAAGAATAAAGATTTTTCTCGTCTTTCTGAGGAATCATAGACAAAGGGTTGTAAGTCAGTCGGCATTTTCCCAGGTCCTTTTACTAGAAAATATGGCTTCTGTTGGGCTGGCACACACAGAAATGTGGGAAATCCTACATTTTAAAAAATTGGAGATTAAATTAAATTTAGCCATTTATCAAGCTGATTGCATTCAATTTAAACACGTTGCCCAGCGTGTCAAGGAGAATGCAATCCTCGATTTGGTGTCGTTCTTCTTGGTCAACAACATAACTCCTTCCTCTAGTTGTTGGCAATGCCCTAAGCATCTATTTGGGATTTCTTGCCTAATCAGTCCGTCCATAAATCATAAACAAACAATAAAAATATGTCTTGTGGTCTTTCTGCGTAGTCGAAAAACAGAGGTGGGCGGTATCTTTATTAGACCACCGAGACCTCACAAACAAGCTAGTTTTTGAATGCTGCTGGCGTTGCGCATTAGAGAGCTTAACAGCGGGAGTGGAACAAACAGATGTTCTCGAAAATCATCTTTGCAAGATATTGAGGCCAGGCTTTTTTTATTTAAAGCAATCAGATCTTGCTGAGAAATAGGGTGACCAAATAAACGGCTGAAAGTGCCACTGGCCTTTCAAGGCCAAAAATGATCAGGGTATCTGAAAGGCCATCTTTCTGATCTTCAAGAAACTGCCCAGGAAGTGTTCGGGCAGAGATATAGCAGAGCTCACAGGATGAACATCCATGCTGTTCCCCCACTTTCCTTTATCTTCTGGAGTCAATGAGTCTGCTGGGGTCTGTTGCTGAAAATCAGCCAGCCACGTTGGTCAGTTTGCTGTTTGATCTGGTCAACTGTAAGTAAATGGAATGTTTTTATTCTTTCTACTGTTGATGTCTCAGAGTGAGTTAATGAGTCGGCATGTGCCAGTTCGTGAATTAAAAATTCTGGGGAATTTGAAGCTAATTCTGCTGTGTGAATCCCTGCACTTCTGCTTCACAGTTAGAAGAATTTCACTAGAAATTCCAAACTCTGCAACATTAGTGACCTCCAAAAAGCCCTTTTGTCAACAACCTTGCCAAGTTCTCTTCCTTTATTGAACCAATCCATCTCTACGTACAATACCCTCATCATTTTTCCTTCTAGAGAGTCCAAGTTCCATTTGATCTAGCAACCATTTGGCTGTCTTTGTAATGGTCCGTGGGCTCTCTCAAGTTATTCTCCAACATCACATTTCAAATAAATCATTCTTTTCCTTTCAGGTTTTTTAACTATCTAGCTTTCACCTTTGTGTATAGTAACCAAGAACACTATAATGGAGACGACCTTCACCTTGGTCTCCAGTGACACATTCTTGTCCTTCAGGATCTTTTCTAGTTCCTTCATAGCATCTTTCAGAACCATGTATAGTGTCTCATGATGCATCAGTCAAAGGCATTGCTGTAGTCTATAAAGTTCTCATGATCCATCAGTCAAAGACATTGCTGTAGTCTATAAAGCATAGATCGATCTGCTCTCCAGTAACCAGCAGATATTTGCAATACGATCTCAAGTACCTCTTCCTTTTTGAATCCAGGTTGAACATCAGGCGTTTCTCACTCCATATAAGTCTTTGTTGCAGATCAAATACCAGCTTCCTAATCAGTCATTTGGTCATAACTACTGTTGTCAAATGTCCCATGAATCTAAAAACAAGATTATTCTTTTTCATTTATGTATTTATTTATTTATTTTTAGAAACTAGGGATAAGGTAAGGAATACAGAAGGTAAAGGGGGATGTGGGGGAGAAAGAGAGAGGAAGGAGAACACAAAATGTACTATCATCAAATCCTGTTTGTTCGTGTTGCAATATCAGGTCCACTTTTTGCCTTTCTACAATTTGATTGCCCTCCAGGTTTCTACGTACAGTTACATCTTAATTTAATTCTATGTTACTCAAGCTCTATCTGCTGACTCAAGCCATTTGTACAATAAATCCCATTGTTCAGTTGCCTTTTGTATTGGACAGTCTTTCAACACTTCTGACAGTATATCCATTTCTGCCGCTTCCCATATCTTCTCAATGATTTCCTCTTGTTTCGGTATCTCCAATTTCTTCCAGTGCAGTGACTATATATATAAAAATATGTCTTGTGGTTTTGTGACTATATATATAACTAGGTAGTTCTTTGTCTTATCTATATTATCTGGTGTAATGCTCAGTAAAAACAATTCTGGGTTTAGTGGAACAATACAAAGCAATATTTTTTGTAACAGAGTATGTACTGCTATCCAATACTGTTTCGCTACTCTACAAGTCCACCACATATGGTAAAAGCTTCTCTCTTGTGCTTCACACTTCCAACAGACATTTGACACCTCTGTATAGATCTTTAAAACAAGATTCTTCTTCACAACTTCTTTTAAATTTGCTAATTCTTCTTCTTTCTTTTGCTGGCATGTTTGTTTAGTTCTGTTTTAATGCCATTTTTGAAGGACAAAATGTAACTGTGAGTTTACCTTCATATTCCAACCAAAGATAAAAGCCTTGAAAAATTAATTGTCCTAAGTGAATCACTTACTGCTACAGAAAATGTATCTCATTTGAACATCAGGCATTTCTTGTTCCCTATAAGGTAAACATCTTTGTTGGACACACAGTGAGCATTGCTTAGCTTACATGGGAAATTACAGAAAGAGTCCTATAGTTAAAGCATTCCTTGGCAGCCCAGTTTAGAGAGTGGCAAATCTCTGGCGGACCTAGGTGGACAATCCATGCTAGCAGACAAACAGCCACCTAAACTGAACAGCATTCTAACCAGTAACAATAGACGATCCACCATGGACTCTGATATAGGAACCAGAACTTAAAGCAAACCTAGAGGCCAGATTTCGCCCATATTTACACAGGGAACACTATCAAAGGACCAAACAATATTGTCCATAATATCAGGGGCTCAAACACCTGGTTTACGGGCTGATGTGCCTTATGCCATCTTTTGTCACCAATGCTCAACTGCATTTTATATTGGGCAGACAGGTCAAATTTGATGTAAGAGAGTAAATGCACATGGCATGTACATCAGGAGCATGTATATATACACACAGTATACTCATCTATATGTACCATATTTCCCTGAAAATAAGACAGGGTCTTGTATTAATTTTTGCTCCAAAAACGAATTAGGGCTTATTTTCAGGGGATGTTTTATTGTTTTCATGTACAACAATCTACATTTATTCAATTACAGTCCTGTCCTCTTCTTCTGGTTGCTGCAGAATGGTGGAGGGCGGGGTTTCACTTAACTGGGGCTTATTTGGGGGGGGGTATAGCTTATATTATTATTTAATTGCATTTTAAATCATATATTGTTTTATTTATCTTTTAATATTTAACTTATTGTGTTTTTAAATTGTGTGAATTTTAATGTTGTGAGCTGCTTTGGGTCCTTTGTTGGGAGAAATGTGGCATACAAATCAAATTACTACTACTACTACTACTAATAATAATAATATGACCCTCCTGAAAAATCATACTAGGGCTTATTTTCAGGTTAGGACTTAATTTTGGGGAAACATGGTACATATACATATACTAACCATTTGAACCTTTGTCATGCAGTCAAATCCTAATCACCAATATTATGATGGAATTAATAACTTCTCCTTGTCTGTTAAATGATGTTTAAACTCTTGGCAAGGAGAACTGTTACCAATAGTTTTAAAATTCCAACAGTTTTATACTGTGCCCAGGGACATGACCACTCCATTCATTGTGGGTGGTAAAAGCCTTGGTTTCAAAATCTTGGTCGTTAGGATTGCCATACCTCAGAAGCGATTTGCAGGTCCAGAACAACCTGGTGAAGCTTCAGGGTGTGGAGAGAAGATGAAGTTCAAAGCTTCAGCATCTAGGCAGAACGATTTTTAGACTACTCTTTTTCTCTTACAGCTCCTCTCCTCCTCCCCCATAAAAGCTGCGCCTAGGCAAATGATGAGTTTTGCCAGCCTCAGAAGCTTGCCTATTTTTCATATTTTAGTGGTCCGATAAATAAATACATTTCCCACCTTTGTTTTTCTATTTCCCACAAGGACCACATGACTCCCCCTCCGTTTATTCTCTCCTTGCGTGATAAGCGATAGCTGTTGTAATTCCTGCTAACCTATAACTATCGAAGTGCAGAAACCCTGTTGTTTTCTTCATGGGGCCGCCCTATTCTGCAGAGGTCCGACACGCAGCCATGGTGCATCCTTCATGAAGGCACTGAGCAAGAACTTAACATGCCCACATCTTCTTTTTCTTGCAGTTTGGATTTCTTCTATCGGGCAGTGGATCCTTGATGAAGTTCCCTTTGGAGGAAGCATTGGCTTGGACCCCTTCCTCTTCTCCATTGGTATCCTTGCAGTGAACAACAGAGACCTAGCAGTAATGGACAGGGGAAGCGGGGTATTCAAGCCACCATTGGGGGGGGGGACTGTAGTGAATCCCAGACCTACCTTGGATTTGAAATGGCCCACCCTCCCTTTCCTTCTGTTTCCAGCTGTAGTCATAAACCAGAGCTTGGGGGAAAAAATTGGGTTCTGGCACTGCAACTCCCACTGGCCATATTGGCTGGAGATTTCTGGGAGGTGTAGTTCAGTAATGTAATTTCTCCAAGCTTTGGCCACAGAAGGTCCCATGGGAATACCAGCATAGCTGGATAACGGCTGTATGCTCCCTCCCACGCTCCCTGAATAGCAGCTGCATTTATAAGGGTGGGCTTCTCAGTTTGTATCTGCTTGCTGTGTTGTTTCTTCAGATGATTGGGGCAGCTACCAGCAGGTCTTGGTCAGTTCGAACCGAACCCTCGTTCCCATTGATGACAACCTAGTGGACCTTGTTTGGGGTTCACAGAGGCCTCTTCCATCTACCAGCATGATCTACCCCCTCCCAGACAACTTCACTGGTACGTTCTTGTGTCATAAATGAACTTGGCAGGCTGCCTTCTTGTAACACAGAGGCTGAAAATGGGGGCTGTGGAAAGGAACTTTACAATATAGTAGGGCTTCAAGCAGGAGTTCCATTAGATGAAGGAAGGAAGGAAGGAAGGAAGGAAGGAAGGAAGAATTCTCCATTATGTCTAGTTTTATTTTCGAAGGAAGGAAGGAAGGAAGGAAGGAAGGAAGGAAGGAAATTGCAAAGTACCAAAGATTAAGGCAAGAAATTAAAAAAAAAACAGAGCATCATCCCTCCCCAAATATTAATTTTCAGTAACTGGATTTGTTCCAAAAACTTTAGTTGAAAAGAATTGCCAATAGCTGCTAATTTGCTTCTTGAAATTAAAAAATGGGTGATTCTGCAAACATGTTCTCTCATGTGGAGATGTTTAGGACTTGACTCTTTGATCCACCCACATACCAGCATTGCTGATAAATGATGATGATGCAAAATTAAAGTTTCCTTTTCCTCTTCCTTTTCTTCCTTTCACTTTGCTACCACAGGCCAGAAATCATCAGGGCTTTTCTTTGTTTAATTTAGTAAACAGCGCACTGCTGCAAAAATACATCAACCTAGCATCAATCTGTCATATCTGGCATAGCGCTGTGTCACTTAGAATAATACCTTTAAAATAGTGAGAAGAGGAAAATAGAGGAGATGGTTTCTTTTCCATCCTTTGTACTATAACAGCCTACTGCGTACGTCATAGTGTTGTCACCAAGGGGAACACAACCCACGGCTTTATTTGAGAATGAGTTAAGCAAGCACATAGACTGCAGAATGGGATAAGCAGGAGCACTTGCAATCTCACCAAATAAACTGAATCCTTAGCTCTGTGCCCGAAAGGAGTGGAACAGATCCCAACAAGGGCAGGATGGATCACATCTACTTAAAATACATGTGACTGCCAGAAAACAGGCTGAACCAAACCATACCAAAAGTGGACCAAATAGTGAGCTATCTGATTGCCACTTATTGCCAGCAAACTATATTTTTCGCTCCATAAGACGCACCAATTTTTAGGAGAAGAAAACAGGAAAATATAATCTGTTTTTTTCGCTCCATAAGACGCGCAGATTTTCCACCCCCCTGTTTTGTGGGGGGAAAGTGCGTCTTATGGTGCGAAAAATACGGTACTTCACAAGGTTCTTCATTCTAGAAGTTCTTTTTATCCTATTAGTTCTTGATGGCTTTAGGGGGTCATCATAATATTCTTTCTTTTTTGGGGGGGACTTCCCAAGCTTTGTCATTATCTTCTGTTCTTTGGGGTCACCATATCACCCCCTAAGATCCCGCAGGGCAAGCTGAGACGAAACAGCCAAGGCTGTGTTAGAGTTTACACTTCCCACAAATCATTCTCTGCTTTTCTTCCTTTAGGGAGCACCTGGCAGGCAAAAGTTTCCCAAATCCGGACCCAGATGGAGGATCACGCGAAAAAGCCCACCGCGGTGTTGCTCTCCAATCTTGAGGAAACCGCCTGTAAGTGCTCAGCCACCATCCATTCTTGCCTCTCCGTCTCCCCGATACTTTTACACCGTCTTTTCTAGCAGCCACCCCCACCCCCACCATCACTCCTTCCTCCTCTCTAGGTTTGTATTTGGAGTTTGCTCCATCCAGGCCTGTTCATACGGATTTACCCAATCTGCATAGCCCAGGGCCAAGCATGTACCAAGGCTCTATTTAAATACATTTGAGGGATATGTTTGGTTAAGAAAACCCTCTACCTGAAACTTTGACTAGATGCGCCAGTCGGAATGGCTGGGTCATTTGTATGTGGTCTAGAGACACAATCACACCATAGCCGTACTTGCTTGTATGCCGGTCGGAATGGCTGGGTCATTTGTATGTGGTCTAGAGACACAATCACACCATAGCCGTACTCGCTTGTAGAAATTATGCTTAATCCCTAGGCCCTCTCTTTCAGGTTAATACAGTAGTGCCTCGCAAGACAAATTTAATTCATTCCGTGGTTAATGGTGTCTTTGCGAAAAATTCATCTTGCGAAATGCGTTTTCTCATAGGAATGCACCTAAATCTAATTAATGCGTTCCTATGGGCAAAGAAAGTCAGAACAAAGTCACATTTGGTTTACAAAGGGTCTAGAGACACAATCACACCATAGCCGTACTTGCTTGTAGAAATTCTGCTTAATCCCTAGGCCTCTCTTTCAGGTTAATACAGTGGTGCCTCGCAAGACGAATTTAATTCATTCCGTGGTTAATGTTGTCATTGCGAAAAATTCATCTTGCGAAATGTGTTTTCTCATAGGAATGCACTGAAATCTAATTAATGCGTTCCTATGGACAAATAAAGTCAGAACAAAGTCACATTTGGTTTACAAAGAGTTTATTAAGTGCTCTTTAAAGCCATACATATTGTGCAGATGATTTCAAAAATTTCAATCAAAAAAACTTTAACCTTTTTAAATATATTAGAAAAACATTTAAAAATCAGCAAACATGACGCAGGAACAAAAAAAACGGAAAGCATTAGTCTTGCGAAGCACGGCCATAGGAACATTCATCTTGCGAGTCATCAAACCCCCCCATTGCCAAAACCATTTGTCTTGCAGGTTTTCGTCCTGTGAGGCATTTGTCTTGCGAGGCACCACTGTACAAGGTGCTGAGTATATATTTCCAAGTCTGAGGGGAGAGATGACCGTACTTTTGAAATGCTTCAAAGGAAGGGGGGGCAGGGTCTGTTCTCAATCCTTCCAGAGTACAGGACACACAGCAATGGGCTCAAGTGACAGGAAGTCAAATTTAGGCTGAATATCAGGAAAAACCTAACTGTTAGAGCAGTACAACAACGGATCTCATGGCCTTGGGAGGTGTTGAGTGCTTCCATGCGGGAGGCATTCAAGAGAAAATTGGACAACCCTCTGTCAGATCTGCTTTGCTTTGGACTCCTGCAGTGAGCAGGGTATTCGACTTGATGGCCTTATAGGCCCCTTCTGGCTGAATGATTCTATGATTCTAAGTCTGTATTTATAACCCTGAACACCAGGAATCCGCAAAACCTGGATCCTTTTCTGTTGGCTCCAGTCGTTCAATTGCTTTCAATGGGACAATATTCAAAATATGATCTCATTTCATTTCTCCTTGTTCATCTCATATTTTGTTCTGCACAAGAAATTATCTGTGGCAGGCCCTATATGTCTCTTCCTGCCACTTCCGTCTCAGGCCTGCCATCATCATCTTAGAACTGTAGAGCTGGAAGGGGACCCCGTGGGATCATCAACTCCAGCCCTGGTCAAGGAGGCCCAGCAGGGAACCGAACTCGCAACCTCTGGTCCTGCAGCCAGGGGCCTAAACCATCAAGCATTTCTTTTGTCTGGGTTTCCCCTTCTGGCTTAATTTCTGCCGTTTCCCGCCCCCCCCTTAAGCCGCTGGCACAAAGAAGGAAACAGTAAGAACCTCTGCCTTTCCACAGGGCTTTTCAACCTTCGAGGAGACGACATTCCATACACGCCTGTCTTCTACGCTTACACACTTCTCACCAAGACGACCATCAGGTACCTGGCTTCTCCACACCTCCTCAAACCATCCTCTGATAAGATCTGTAACAAAATGTTGCAGCGCATGAAATCCATTCAGAGCTCCTGGCATGCAATCAGGCCCTTCCTAAGGATCCTCTGTTCCATCTACCCTTCCTACTGCTCATTTCCACCCCCAACCAGAAGCCAGCGTTCTGTGGCCCCTGCGCGTGCCCCAGTACTCACTGAGCCGTTTGTTTAACGTTTCCCCTTCGTATTCACTCCCCACAATTTTTTCGTACTTCCAAAAGCCTCAGATGGGTCCCTCCATGCCTCCTTGTTACATAAAACACTGATTTTAGAATGTCGCGAATCCGTGGATTATTAGAAGCGCATCAGGGGCTATTGGTCACAACAGGGACGCCAAGCTACATCTACATCAGGCCTCCACGTTCAGAGGCCGCATGTTTGCGATTGCCAGCTGGAAATGGACGTGGGCAGTCCAGGCCAGGCGCTATATGGTTTGTTCAAGAGTATCCAGTGGCTTTTGGACGGCTGCCACTAAAACACAACAGAAAGCCATTAGGACTTTGAAACAAGAGAGAACTTTGATCTGACCGGGGAAGCAACTCCTCTGCTCTCAGCAAGGAAATGGGTCGCTTGCAGAATGGCTAAAGGAAGGTGGCTGGAAACCAGGGAAGAGTACAGAGCAAGACATTTCTGTTTAGAACGTCCTTTGCAGCCAATGTTTACCTTGCGTTCAAATTACAACCAGGAGGAAAAAGTCATTCACTCGCGAAAAGCATTTAATTTGGCAGATCTATGCAGAGTTTTGGAAAAGGCTAGTTTCTGAGAGTACCTCCTCTATGATCCCCTGGTCATGCAGGCTGAGGGATGCTGAGTTTTGGTCCAAAGAAGTCGCTTTCCCATGCCATGATGTTTCCACCGTAATCCTAGACAAGAGTCTCGGGTCCCGGCCGAAGGAGTCTTCCCAACTTGGTCCCTTCATGGTTATTAAACTAAAACTCCTGGCAGTTCAACAAACGTGCAGAGTGCCCAGGTTAGGGAAAACAAGGGCAAAGTGGGGCCCAAATCCCTCCTCAAATCCAAAGCATGTGGGTGAATTTGGGCCCAACACCAGCTTTTAGCTTTACTGCGTCACAGGGCAAATTGAACATGACCAGGAGCCACTCAGAAGGAGGATAGAACAAATATTAGGGGGAATAAAAGTCTCTCCTCCCATTGACCTCCTTCAGTTTGTCCTCAGCTTGTTTGTGAATCAGAGTCGTCTGACCGAGGCGGCCTCTCGGTCTCTCGTTGCTGGGTGCCCAGGACAGCTGTGCGTGAGTACGGAGGAGTATGAGCAAGTGAGCGCCAGCCTGAGGAGGTACGCCCAACAGGACGGCGTCCGTATCTGGATTGGGACCGAGTACACCACCCTGGGGCTCTACAAAGAAATCCCTTCGGTAAGAGGAAAGAGAGGAGAACATGCTTTCAGGACAGGGCTTGACCCCATGGGATGCCTTTGAGGATCTGGTGGCGGAGAGGGGCTGAGGCCGTAGGGGAACAGGAGCAGCCACATGTGTGAGAATCGCCACATCCGGGAAGCTGCAAGACTGAAAAGAAACCGTATGAGCCGCTCCCAGAGAGAGGGGTGGCAAAGGGCAGTCCCCAGCTGGGCTGTTGTTGGGGTGTGGGAAACAGGTGCGTCCCTCAAGAGGCCCGGGGACATTCTGTGGACGTGCCTCCTTCCCTCCCTCTTTCCTATCTCACAGGAAAAGCTTCTCACAGAGGATTACTCTCCTGTCATGATCACCAAGGCCGTCAAGAACCTCAAGGAGCAGCAGATGATGCGGGCTGCCCACGTACGTAGCCTTACTGGGAGTAGGAGAACCCCCAAGCCATACTGCTTGGGAAAATTATTCTGCCCAAAGACCACTCCTAGCCACGTTCCTGGTGGCCATGGGCTGGCAGAAGGGTTGTGGGAGGTGTCCTCTTCAAAACAACAACAACAACTTTTCTAAACTCTAAAGAGAACTGTTGACAAATGTGAGCTTGTGAGTTTAGAAGAGTAAGCAACAGTAAGGACCAACAAAAAATGCGGGTGAGGAACCTCCAGATGTTGCTGGACTATAGGTCTCAAGCTCTGGTAGGAGTATAGGAGTCTGGCAACATCTGGAAGAGCACAATTTCATTGGCCCTGAACTTAAAAGGAACCAGTTCAAAAGGTAAGCAACAAGTCATAAGCTGGCTTCTCGGTTCCATCAGAATCGGTCAGCAGGCTGGAGGATAAACGAAACAATAGCGAGAACGGAGAGAGAAGGAAAGAAGGTGGATTGCCTGAACTTTTAAGACACAAACAAACCCCACTGCTTCGCACGTTCTGCCACCCCCCACAATGTTCCCGATCTGTGTTTACATGGCTAATTACAGGTGTCAGAGTTTCCAAGGAGAAATTCTGGCATCAAAAGGAGATTCTTGGACTAAACTTTGTTAGGTCTTGGTTCAAATTCTGCCCTTTAAAAAACAGGCAGGGCAATGGGGAGGCTTCGGTTGAATTCTGGTGCCAGCAGAAGACTGGGCGGTGCATCTCTTCCTTCACCAGGATCTCTACCACCATATTGCCTTCACGCCGTGAGCAGCTCAAAGGGGAATAACATCAACCTTCGCCCTTCTTTGCTTTGGGTTCTCTCCTAGGTACGAGATGCTGTTGCCGTGATCCGCTACCTGGTCTGGCTGGAGAAGGAGGTTGGAAACGGCTCCGTCAATGAGCTGTCTGGTGCACGTTACGTGGATCAATTACGTGGGTCAGTTGAAACAGAGCAGGTCTCCCTGAGCTGTGTTTAAAAGAATCGTAAGCAACTGAAAAGGAAATGAAGGTGAAGAAGCCATGTAAGAAATTGTATACTAGATCTGAGATGGTGTCACCTGGTAGCAGAAAACAGTGCAAAGAGAGAGATTTGGGTCTTGAATCTTTCTTCTATTCAGGTGGTATTGGAAATATACAGTAATGGTAACTGTTGAAGTGCAGCTACTTATCAGACGGTTTCCTACGCCAAGCACCCAAGGAAAGTCCAGAAATGCATTGTTTCACCTTAACAAACAGTTCTAGCAGATTTTTATCTCTGCTAGATCTTTCGTAAAGATCATAGATCTTAACTGCCCATTCAAGATTGTGGTTGTTGTTGGGGTTTTGGTAATGGATCTTAGGGTGTGATCAGACAGTGAGAAAGATGCCTGTCCCATCCCACAGGAAAGGGTCAGTTTGCTGGGAGTAATCTCCCTTAAAGCCGCCCTTCCATCCATCAGGAAATGGCTCCGGGCAAACCTCCGAAAGCAGGAATCCTAGTGCTGGACCAAAAAAGTGCAGCTTGGACATGGATCAGGTTCAGATTGGAGCCCTCTCACCCTACGTCTTGGGAAAGGAAACCTGTAGAAAGGTGGTGATGGTGTCAGATGAAAAATAAAAATAAAAAAATCGGTCATTTGGAGCTTGCAATCCCCGATCCAGGAACACTGTTGGGAGGCCGTAATTCAGCTACCACCTCTTGCCTCTGTACGGGGTCCACAGATCTAAGAGTGCCCTTTTTTTTTCCCCCTCTACCAGGGAAGAACTGTACTGCCGTGGCCCCAGCTTTGAAACCATCTCTGCCAGTGGTCTGAATGCAGCTCTGGCCCATTACAGGTACGTGATCGGAAGCCGTCGATCTGCAGGACAGCATCGGGAAGAATTCCTGGCGACTTTGCTTCCTTTCTAGGCAGGGAATATTAAGACTTTCTGCAGCAAACGCGCAAGACGGTGGGAAGGAACAGCCCAGTTGTTGGTTGTGTAAGCCAGAGTGTCCGTCCCTCTTCGAGAAAGAGCCCATCGCCTCCCCGAATTTTTCACAATAGCAGTTTTTTAAAACGCAGGTTCTTAAAACTAAAGCTACTGCCGGTGGGAATGTGGCTTCATAAACTCGTGTTTAAAAAGGGCCTTTAAAACCTCTGAATATGTGAAGAAGAAAGCGCACACAGCTGGACAGTCTCTGTGCAGAGCAGATGTTCAGAGGGGGCTACAAATTCTGTGCCCAAATATAGCCTGTGGTTTGTGCATCTGGATGCCTTAAGCATCTTGCAGATATCTCTGCAGACAGCACTGGAAGAAGAGTCTTTCAAGAGCCAAGGTCTTCTTTTACACACTTGGCCAAACAGATGTTTCAAAGAAGCAGGGCTGGCTTCACGAGCTCTGCCATTGGGCAGAGTGAGGCAGGAGCCTTGCAGGGAAGGGGGCAAATGGAGGGAGACAGCAGGAGAGGATTACGGAAAGACCCGTATGGCCTGCTTTGGGCTCTCCAAGCAAGCCAGCAAGATTCAAGCACAGCAAATGGATGGAGACAGGCAGGCCTGGGGGGGATGGGAAAATTGGGGGGAGGGAGAAACAGTTTTGTTTATTTATTCCATTTTTCCCAATGGTTTCCCCAAATTTCTGGAATTTTTACATCTATCCGAGTGCCAAGAAGCCAACGACAGTGATAGAAAGCATCACTACGCAACATCTTCCCCAACGACTGGCATTCAGAGGCCACCTGTCTTGGAACATAAATCCCATGACGGAGCTCCCCAGTACAAGAAATGGCATTATCCACCAACGTGGGTGGTTTTAAAAGGGGGAGACTCATTCAAAGCCAGTCTCCTGTTCGATATTGGCATGCACAGAGTGCCATCTGGGGAAAAATGCCACAGGATTGTGCAGGACCAGGGCCTCGCTAGATGACCACAGCAGCTTTTATAGTTCTGCTTGCATATCGATTGAACAGGAGACAGGCCAATAAATGCACGGTTGGCCACAATGGCTATATATTACCCCTGGCATCAAAGGCAGTATTCTGGTACCTTTGCCTTTTGCTTACAGCTTTTGCAGAAGGATCTGACTGGCCACTGGGATACATTTCGTTGCAGAGGGCAGTTTTCTGTTTCAAGGCACCCTCGGTTTGAAAGGCCGAGCCGGCTTTAAAGACCACCAGATTCCTACGTTTGCTGGCATTGGACTGCATAAACCTTGGAATCCCTTCCAACTCTACAATCCCATGAGAAGCAGGGAGAGCGAGATCTTTGATGTTGTTATTGTGACAGCTGTAGCCCAATAAAGTAACTTTTCGCAAGCTAGCTGGATAGCTCAGTGAGTTAGGTCTCTGACTGTGGAGCCAGAGGTTGCGAGTTCGATTCCCCACTGCTATGTCTCCTGGGTGAAGAGCCAGCCTGGGTGGCCTTGGGCCAGCTGCACAGTCCCAAGACTGCCCCTAGAGGATGGGAAGGGTAAAGCACTTCTGAGTTTTCCAGATAATTGACTTGATTGTACATGATTATTATTGCCCAATTCCCTTAGCCTTTTCTTTTTTATTTCAGCCCATCGAGCACTACCAGCCGAACCCTGACAGCAGATGAAATGTACTTGGTGGACTCTGGAGGCCAATATTTGTACGTATGGCGGAGCCCAGCAGCATTTCTCTTTGGTCAGAGTTAGGTGTCTGCATTTGGGAGATCTGGGAGAAGCCTTGACCCCCAGCTGACCGTGTGTCATACTGTAGGGTTGGTTTGGCTCAACTTATGAGCCACTTTCTGAATTTTGTAAGCAGCTTACAAATAAAGCTGGGCAAGAACATTATTCAGTTCCTATACTGATTTTTAAATCTGTTTGGCACCTGTGTTTATTTGAAAATGCATGCAAAATATGCACAGTAGGGGAAAAAAAGCCAATTTGACATGTAAATGGTCATATTAATTTTCTTTTAATGCAGACTGATGGCAGAAACAGATAGGGTGAAATGAGAAACGGGAGGATCCAAAAGTTCCACTTATCCTCACTTAGAAAAGACGAGTAGGACAAAACAGAATAAGACGTAGATTATCAAAAGAAAATACCATTTTAGACACATAAAATGTTAGGCTTTAAGCATAAAAAAAGGTTTTAAAAAAGTTGTACAACGTTGCTTATGAGCATCAGCAAAAACCAACACAGTCTCTCTCTCTCTCTTAGATTATCAAAATACCATTTTAGACACATAAAATGTTAGGCTTTAAGCATAAAAAAAGGTTTAAAAAAAGTTGTACAACGTTGCTTATGAGCATCAGCAAAAACCAACACAGTCTCTCTCCTCTCT